TCCACATCCACGTGACTTTTTTTGTCTTTTGTTTTTTTTTTCCAATTTTGTTTTTTTTGTTTTTAATTCTTTTTTATTTTTTATTTTATTATTATTATTGTTATTATAAATTTCGTATAAAATTCGGACAACATTTTAAAATTCGGATGAAATTTTAAAATTCGGAAGACATTATAAATTCGGACGACATAATAAAATTCGAACGACTATAGAAAACGGAACAAAAACAAAGTTTGTCTTTATTTATCACGGATATATTAATTGGTTCGGTATTATATTTGCGTGGTGCGTTATGCGGATTGAAAACAAACTTTACTTTTGTTCCATTTTATATAGTCGTTCGAATTTTATAATATTGTCCGAATTTTAAAATGTTGTCCGAATTTTATATGGTTATCGAAATTTATTATAATAATAATAATAATAAAATATAAAATAAAAGAAAAAACAACAAAAAAAAGGGAAAAAACAAAAAAAAAATGATGTCAAATCAAAAGTAAACATTTGATTAGATTGATATTACGAGGGTAAATTTGGTTAAGAAAGATACTTATAGCACAACCCATTGCATATCACCAAAAACAAGAAAATGGTTGTACGACTTCCTTTCCCGGTTTATTGATGCCTTGCTTATGTACTTTTTCTTTTATTTTTTGTTCGAAAATATTCAGGTGTTCGAAAATATATATTGTTCTTTATCATTTGGTTGAAGTCGTAGATGATATTTGTGTCTGAAGATGAGAATGTTTTGTGTACTTTCTTAATTCTTATGGTGTTTCATACAACATATTAATGTTTTCATTAACTTATATAATAAAATATTTATTTGACATTCATTATGCCATTATGTTTCAACCGATTAACTTTTATAATAAAATGTATACTTTATACTAAAACAGAATATAATTGCATAATTCGCTTAATAAATTGCTTTCTTCCAAAAGATACATTTATCTTTTTTAATAAAACTTCCTACCAATTATAGACATAATGAGTAATGCCACAATATGATCTCCGATATTTGGGTTAATTAATGTTTCAATCCTATTTGGCCACTAGTCTTTCTTTTTTCCTAAAGGCCTAAATATTAAAATGACTTATATAAAAAGGAATTTGGTCACAAACCCATAAACCATAAATCGTACCATAACCAAACAAAAATCGAAGACCATTACCAAACCAATATCGCAAATCTGAGACCATAACCAAAATCACAAACGATTACCTATTAGAGACCATAACCTAACCAAAATCGGAAATCAAAGAACACAACCATAAGAGACCTTAAATAAACCAAAACCGCAAATCATAGACCATAATAAAAAGTTAAAAACCATAAACATAAATTGAAGCAAGATTGACTAAATCCAACCAAATATTTGTAGGGCTGAGCATGGGTTGGTTTGGGTCGGTTTTGCCCCAAAACCAAACCCAAACCGAATGAACATCGGTTTCTGAAAATTTGAACCCAAACCGACCCTAAACCCATGGGTTCGGTTTTATGGTTTATCGGTTTCTAAATCGAGTTTTTGGGTTCGGTTTCGGTTTATGAGCTAAACCAAACTTGAAACTGTTTTTCTATCTTCCCATATCCTCACTTATATAGAAGTGAAGATGGCTTCAACTTTGATCCCTCAAGCGATGTGGGACAAAAGTAATAGCTTAATAAAACTCAAGAGGATATATGTTGTGCTTATCTACGCGAGCATATCTAGCTACGTTTCAATCATGTGCCGATGTGGGATGGGTTTATGCGAAAATAAAAGAAGTGAAATATTGCACACAGGTTTCAAACTTGAAATCTCCAGGAAAACACACGAGAGCCTTACCCACCTGAACCAACTCATGTTTTTGACATTACTTCGCTAAACATATTTATATTTGTATATAAATTATATATATATATATATATATATATATATATATATATATATATATATATATAATCGGTTCAGTTCGGTTTCTATCGGTTTTACCAAACCCAAAAACCAAACCCAAACCGAAATTTTCGGTTTTCAAAAAATCTAAACCCAAACCGTCGGTTTATGCTTCGGTTTCGGTTTCTCGGTTTCGATTTTGTCGGTTTTTATCGGTTTTTCGGTTTACGGGTTCGGTTTTGCTCACCCCCAAATATTGGTGGTAGCATATATGTGATATTCACTCTTATCTTATTCATATGGGGTGTTTGCCCATTCATCTTGTTCAATTTTAACAATCAATTTCCGAATTTCTTGTTACCCATTGATTTCCATATCTGTGTAGTGTAAAACATAAAGGCGTTCTTCTTTTTTATTTGAAAGCGAGAGTCAAATATGCCTTCTTATATACTTAATCGAACATTTTCTCACATGTTTCCAAAATCTTACAAGTTAAACTAATACCCCATTTTTTCGTTGAATCAAAGCTTTTCCACAGTCTAGCGATAATAGGTAGCATCGTAGATGAGGAGTGATGGTAGCAGATGACATCACATGCTGGTGTTGGAGGTAACCGATGTAGAGAGTGATCGATGAACGGCGCCAAGAGTTGGTATTGTATGAAGTAGTCACCGGGGAGCAGTGAGATGATGTTGGTGATTTTATTGTTACCTGACATTTTGTGTAATCAGAACTGACATGTGAGTCAAGGGGCTTATCGTTTGTACTCTATATTATATCTTTGATGAATGCGGAGTGCATGCATATATAAGGTCGGATTATAAGCTGATACGATAGAAATGTTGCTGTCAAGGGGGGCACACCCCATTTATTTTGAGATTTGCATAACTAATTTAGAGGATTAACCCTAATATGTCATGTATATATACGGATCCTCTTTTGAGCCGTATACAAAATCCTTTTCTCAGCTCTTCTTCTTCTAAACGAAACTTAGAACTCTCTGCGATTTGGCTTGTGTTTCTGTGCCTAGATACACAAGTGTCCTTTTTGATTATCCTATACTAGATTTTCTGTAACTCAGACATAGAGTGAAAATATCAGTTCGAAAAGTGAACATACACGATCCATAAGAAATCCGGTTCTCCACCATCACCCTACCTTATATCCCCCAACAGATGAGGCAACATAAGTGACTCACAATTGAAAGGTCATGAGTTCAAGTCTCGTTGGAGTCATATGTGATAATTTAGGAGTAAATTAGTTTGCCGTTCCAAAAAAACTATGAACATTTATAAAAGAAAAAATATTGTAATTTTTTAAAACTAATTAAGCTATATAGGAAGCTACATCACCCACTATTACCGGTGAAACCGGTTTTAAAAAAAATCCAATATTCTTCTTAACATATCATTTTTAATGTTTAGGGTCTTAAAATACCTGAAAAATATATTAATGAACATAGGATGGAAACCTAAGTTTATGGGACTACTATAACATTAACCTTTAACATCTTAATGGTAATGTCTTTTCTAATGTGGCTTAGAAAGTCTTATTGTGCTTCCGCACGCTCAATGTGGAGGGACCCAAGTGTAAAAAGGTTGTAGTTGAAGTACTTGAATAGAAATATGAAGAAAGGGGTCGTTTGGTTGGTGGCATGTCTTGAAATGATTACATTTTTTAGTTTGTACTTTGTCATGTTGCACTATATGTTAATATCTAGATATATGAAAGACATAATCATATAAGAAACTAAATGTGATTGTAGACACTTTTGTGTGTATTACAAGTCATAAGCAAATTGATGATATTCATCACCAAATTCTAAGAGTTGTGATGTCAACAAATAAAATAAAATAAAGTTGTTTGCTTGTTCCATACATGTTTTTTTTCTTCAAAATCTTCCCATGTGTAGGAATAGGATGAGAGAGAAGTTTTAGGTGCTGTTTGTTTTTTTAAAACAACCACTTCAGACCACTTATTGCTGCGCCGCGGAGCACACGCGCAACACTTGGCCTTTCGCAGCTGTTTGTTTTCCTGAAGACTTCTGACTTAAAAACTGTTGCGCGTGTTCAAACCTCTTCGTGCCTTACTTTAACTTACTGCAGCAGTCTGCAGACGTTAAAAAACAAACAGACTTTTTATTAAACGTTGCAGCCTTTTGTTCCACCTCTTCTACTACAGAGGATTGCAGAGGTGGTCCGCAGATTTAAGACATTTTCGCTTCGATAAAACAAACAACACCTTAGAAACTTGTCATTGCTATCTTAGAATAAACAAATAAAAGGTTTACTGAAAGTGCTACAAGTTGGTGAGGGGAACTGTCATGTAACTTTAATAGGAGGAAAAGGTGACCAATGGAGGTAGTTCACTTTACTTTTAACATTAGAAAAGAGATAAAACTTTGAATGTACAATATGAAACCGTGTAATTATTTGTTTTATTTTTCTGGATGATTGTATTATTTGTTGGCAGGACCCACTACCTTTTATAAAGAAATATTATTTCTGCAAATAAAAAATACTGAAAAAACCACATAATCCTAAACCGAAACGAAAACCAACAAAGCGGTTTTTAGTTTTGAAAAAAACCAAAATTTTCTGTGTTGTGTATTTTCATGAATATATACTTTCATAAATCTCCCCCATTTAATATTGTTTTAATTACTCTGAGTTGCTGTGATAAACAAATTTATAAAATCATATTGTCATTTCGACCACACAGGACCCACTACCTTTTATAAAGAAATATTTTTTGTATTGGCTTTAAGGATTTATTTAGACATAATGCCTAAACTAATCGTCAAACACCTTTTTCACATGTTTCAATTGTCTTCGACATGAATTCCCAACATATTTCAACATCGAGTCTTACAACATTTTAGAAACATAATCTATTTCCTGAGCACAAATTAGTTTTTGTCATTCAAGAGCAACATACCATTATTATAATGACAAGATAATCAACTTGAAATTCATGTTCGCAAAATACCATTATTATAATGACATTTTGTGAACAAGAACAAATAGTTACATCTTTATGGTGCTCTTTTAAAACAATGGTATTTACAAAATTCCAATATGAAAAAACATGGAAAGTTGACTAACTTCAATATACTTATAAAATTCCAAGGATCTAGATTTAATAGGAGTCTTATTTTCATAAACAAATCTAATAATAGGTTCAAATTAAACAGTGGGAGTATGGGACAAAAATACAAACACAAACATAAACATAGATGTGGTAATTAGGATGAAATTTATTTATATATTTATATATGAGTTAGTTAATAAAGCTCCCACTGGACATGCTTTGTGGCCCTTGAGATGACACCTGTCCCTGAGACACCACCATTTGTGTCCTCCCTCCAGGACCTTGAACATACCCTTGATTCATCCCTGTCCCCACCATCTGCTGCTGCTGTGGTGGTGCCGCCTGCTGCTGTTGCTGCCCCTGTGGCGGAATCTGCTGTAAGTGCTGCTGCTGCATCTGCTGTTGCTGTTGTTGCATTTGCGGGTGCTGTTGTGCTTGAAGCTGTTGCGGTTGTGGTTGCTGACCGGATATCTGTGGCTTAAACACCACCATGTCCTAACACCAAATAAAATTATAACAATTTTTATTTTTATTTTTATTTTGTTGTAAATAAGGATAAATAACAATTTAGTTACCCCAGGGAAAAGCATTCCAATTAGTCTACATGCTTTATCAGAAACAGAGAGTAGAAGTGTTTGTGAAGGCAACTGAATCACTGCACAAAGCTTCTTTTCTTGCAGTTGACCAAGGAATCCATGTTGATTCATTGCCCGAAAAACTAGAAAATCTGCTTTTCCCACGTATTGCCTGGAATTTTATTTTTAATTTTTTTAATTAATCAAATTATTTAAATGAAAACTGAAGATGGAAACAGTATATGACAAAAAAAAAATTTTTTTTTTTGGTAAAGCTTACTTGTTGTTCATGTGATCTTGAGATATAAGTCGCACTATTTGCATTGTTGGTGGCCAATTTGCTGCAAGTCTGAGAGAGAGAGAGAGAGAGAGAGAGAGAAAAAAGGGTATTTTAGGTATTTCAATATTAGTCAAAAACATTTCTTTAAATACTATCTGATGTGATGGGTGACTTACGATTCAGAAGCCGATGCACTCCGGTACCCCTACCATTTTTTTAAAAATCAAAATTCGTAAGTTTATTTTTATATATGTGAGACAAATTAAATTAAATAATATATTTAAACTTACTTCTAATCTTGTAATAAATACAGGCTGACCTTGTCTCTGACCCGATAAATTCCCCTGCATCATTTATCTCACACTTATATTATTCCAATTTCCAAATAAATGATTAATCATAAATTTATAATAATGTGAATATTGGTTATTATATTTATATTTATACCTCCCAGACTTTGACATATTTTGACTGTGCTGATTGCAATGCACCTGTTGATTGCTGTGTGAGACCAACATTAGCTGCTGTATTATTATTATTATTATTCACACCACCAGATTGCATTCCTTGTACTTGTTGCTGAGTCATCACCGGAGTTGGCATCATTGATCCCATTCCAGTCATGGTTCCGGTTCCAGTTCCGGTTCCACTACCTGTTTGACCTACACCTACCACACCACTCATCATATTATTCTGACTCATTCCCATTCCACTCTGCACCATTTGCGACCCCGGAATGCTCCCTTGACTCATCCCAGGAACGGAATTACCCATTCCAACGCTTCCTTGAATCGGTTGTGAAATATTCGATGTAGCCGAAGCAAAAGAACCAGGGACAGTTGATGTAGTTGACATTGCCATTGATGGAATCACTGATTGCCCAGATGAGATTACGGTTTGGGCAACCGGAATTGTGGATGCCATTCCGCTTGATATCATGTTGGACATATGCACAGCCATGGGATTTGGTATTCCCATGGATGTTCCTCCAGCAATGGCTGCTTGGTTGATGATTCTTGCTTGTGATAGGTTGTTGAGAATGTTATGATTTACAGTGACAGCTGGACGCATAGGTGGCTGTATATTACTCACAATTGGCTTCATATCTTGGATTCCATCATTACTTGATAACATTTCTTGTGAAACAGATAATGGTGATGACATTTGCATGGGTGGTGTAGGACGTGGGACAGGTGGCACGTGTTGGAATGATGGTGCAGGTATAGGTACAGGTACAGGTGGCACTGAAGTAACCGTTGTTGGCTCCTGAAATTTTTCAATAATTACCAAAATACCCTTTTTGTTTTCTGAAAGAATTAAAAGGTTTTCAATGGGACTTACCACTTTCACGGTTGCAGGAGGAATGTTTCCTACAGGAACTGGTTGTCGATTCATCATAGTCCCATTTGCTGTATATATAAAAAAAAAATACAAAATGTTTATATTAACTAAAATGAAATATGATATAAACATGAATTTGAAACAAAACCTGGTGGAACTGAAGATGGAGGGGGGGCTGAAACTGGAGGAATTGAAGATGCATCTACTTTTATAGGAGTTTGAGAGGGCAAATTTGTAATTCCTGATCGACTTAAAGCAGCACGAGCCTCCATGAATGTTTCTGAAATGAGTACAAGATAATGTGGATTTTTCACAATATCAATTGTAGGATCAGCTGCTGAAGGGTTCCTTTTTCCCTATAAAATCAAATACAATTATTAATTTAAGGAATATATTATATAATAATATAGGAAACTTATTAGAAAAATAAAATGTAATTATTAATTACCGCATTATAGACTGCTTTGAGTTTCGGTAGCTGTTTAGGGCATATAACTGATAAAGAAACGGAACACTGCTACGAAAAATACATATAAGTGTAAAAACATTTAACATTAATTAAATATCTATGTATAAATTTATTTATTAATAGTTTAATACCTGAGCAAATGCTTTAGCTATAGTTTCAGCATCTGATAAACGACTTTCTGATTGTGCTTCATTGTTATCAGTTGGTTCTATTTTTTGCATTGGGGGTCGATAAACTGGTGTTGGAAGTGGATAAGGATTACTTGCAGCCACAAGTATGCAATGTCTTTGAACACCTAAATTGTGTTGATTTTGGGACATACTTTGGGGAGGAAACATCTGTTCGTTAAAGAATGTAAAAATTTTAAATCCTTTGGTAAAAAAAAAAGATATGACACAAATTATGTTTGAATTTAAATACCATTAAAGCTTCACCAAGTCCTTCTGCAATTGCAGCATCACAAAAACCACCACCAGTGAAGTGAATGGCTGATAGCCATTCAAAGAAGTAATCAACATTTCTTGTCCACCCACTCCTTTGTACTAAGCAAGCTGGAATTTAGATTGATGGAAACCTTAAAAACACAAAATTTGGGGAAAGATTGTTTTTTTTTTAATATAAAAATGAATGAAATGAGAAAAGTAATACTGATACGTTATACGCACAGCTAAAAGATCCGTGAGCATTGAATATTATAAGTGCCAGCTCAGCAATAGTCCCTGAAGGTTTCTGTATGTTGAGAAAGTAAAAGATTTTTAAGTTAGTAGAAGCAATATGGCGCCAAAATAAATGATACGTTCAATAAAATGAGGTTACATATATAGGCTATGTTGTTATACTGTTGTTTTTGTAATGTTGAAATAGTAAGCTTAATTTAATTCAGAGTGTAAAGAGACATTAATTCTGATACGAATACTGGTAAGGCAGTATATATCAAATAAATAAAGAATAAAAAACAGAAATATATAGGATCTTAATCAAAGCATATGCCATGAAATCTTGCACAGGAAAGGAATGATGATGGACATTGTGAAGTGATGCTTAGATTAACAAATAGAGACTTACCAAAGACTCGCTATCACAGAAGGACCTGCATGAAAAAACAAAGGATTAGAAAAGAAAATGTGAACAGAAAAGCATACACAAGAACCCTAAAGACTACAAACAAAATACCCCCAATGTTCATCCATAGATATGATTATGACTGGTGATATATATTAAGAATTAATGAAATGTGTTTCAATATTCATGAACATACCTTGTTTTGAACCCATAAACCTAATTACACTAAGATTGAAAACAATTACTCTAGGTCAACTGGGCAAACCAATTAAGAACTCGATAAATCATTACATCCTAGGTTTGGCACTAGCCACAGAAAGGGGGTAAATCTACGAATATAGACCTTCAATGATACGTAATTTGAAATCCCTAAATCCAAAATACGACCATAAGAGTACCTGATAACTTTTTCGAGGTAATCGGAGACTATAGTGCGCCAGTAAGGACCTAGAGCGGCGGTACCTTCAACCACCAATATGAGCTGCTTTTTGTCCGCCATGTATATGTATAATTGCCAGACGCCCAGAGACTCGATCGATCAGCTCTTGTTTGTGGCACTATTGATCGTCTCAATCGAAGAAGATACACACGTGATAGAGCAATTTTCTCACACAATTATGGTGGACTTTTTCAAATTGAAACTTGTTTAAACCATGGATGCTGCTATTGTTCATAACCTGTGGGGGTCTTTGATCCTTTCGTCCCGGTATACACGTTGAACATGGAATCAAAACTCTCTGTTGAATATAATTTGTAAGCTGCTCTGATCTTTTCTTCCCAATGCACGAAGGGGTTTGTGCCCTGGTATATAACTTATACGAAGCGAAACTCCTCGAATGAAATTTGTCGCGTTAATAATTTCGAAGCTAATCTTTCTTTTCAATCCCACTTCAGCCTCATTTACTAGTTCTGTCGTCGCCAACATCTATTTATTTATTAAAAAAAAAAACTTGATATTTATGTATTGGGTTTAATGTCACAAAAGCTCTTAAATTTGCAGAAAATTATGGGTTTTACCCAAAGTCTTTTTTTGTGTCACATTTGGGTAGATTGTGTCATTTATGAGCTTTTATCGGATTTTACATTACTTAGTCTGTCACCTTGTTTGATGTTTTGAATTTCAAATTCTTATATATAATATACAATTGATTGAATTCCTTTCGTTTGTTTTTTCTCACTGAATTTTATATTAAAATTCTAAAGTTTTTGGTTTTGTAGATATACAACAGTTGGATTTGAAAAACACAATATTTGTTAATATCTCTTAGAAACCAACATATATGCTAACATTTTTTTTTATATATAGTGGTTTTTATTCTCTTTATTTTCTTTGAAATCGATTTAATTCGATTTATAGTTTATCTAATTTTGAACGTGTAAAAAAGATGATATATTCATTGTGAATTTGCAATTAAGCATTGTACTTAGAAATATGTGTTTTCTTATTTTAATTGATTGATATAACTACAGAAATTCCATTAAATAATTCCATTAATCTAGGTTAAGGATCCATTGTCACACCTCCATGAGGATGGTGATTTCCAATATTACTTTAGGAGGAATCTAGTTAACCTAAATAGTTTGCCAAATGGAGGATTGACTTATGTAAAGTCAACGTACATTGCTATATTAGACATTAAAGTAATAGAAATTAAAGTAAGATGATAGTTTAATTTGCTAGAGAGAATATTAAGAGGTTAGATATACTAAATAGTTGGAGTGACGACATAAAAAGCTCTTCATGTAAATGGTAAATACCTACTTAAATGATCATTCAAATAGTAAAAAGTCTTACAAATGACCATTAAAAATGCTTTCATGTTAAAAGGACATGACAACATGATGACAAAACTGCACCAATTAATCATCTATATATTGAGTTACCCTTTGAAAATAAGTATTTATTTGTAATGTACCTTAAAATTATTATTATTAGGGAGGAGGGAATCGTGAGTGGGTTGGGGGGAAGTACCTACAATATGTGAATCCCTCACCAGCGGGGGTCAAGGCTAGTAGGGTGATATGCGGGTTATGTAGCTCGCTGCTTCCTTTCTCTCTCTCTCTTTAGATCCTCTCATGCAATGACCACTTGTATATTTTGCTTTAAGACTTGTACAAACTAATTTTGTATGTTTTTAAATTAGTTTGTGAATTAAGGAGTGTTTGGCAAAAAAAAAAGTATTTTTTATTAGCTTATAGCTTATTAGCTTATAAACTAATAAGTAAGTGTGAAATAACTTATGAAAAATGACTTATTAGAGGTTTACCACCGGAATAAACTATTTTTATCCAAACACTTTCTTAACTTATAGCGGTGTGGAACTCTTAATAAGTTAATAAGTTGTTTTAATAAGATTAGCCAAACACATTAGTTTTATATGTTTTTAATGTTTTGTAAATTAATTTTGTGTGATTTTTATTAGTTTGTGTTTATATTAAAATTAAAAACTGTGTGAGTTGACGGAGTTGGAAAATATACGTTTTCATGTATTTTTGGTGTTGAGAAAAATAAAAGAGAAAAGAAAAAAAAAAAACTTGACGTGACACCTTATTATTATATAAATATATCCTATGAGTAAATGACAATTTTAGTTAACATTAGTTATGTGTTTTTGTAATAATGATATTTTTCCAGTTTTAACGTTTATTGCCTCTAAAACCTTTTTCGTAACATTTTCTCATTCCTCAACCATCTAATGTACATATACTATGAACAAATGTGCTCACATCTTTAAGGTGTTGTTTGTTTTTTTAAAAAAAACCACTTATTGTTGCGTCACGTAACACTTGATCATTCGCAGCTGTTTGTTTTTCAGAAGACTTCTGACTTAAAAACGATTGCGTGTGTGCTGCGTGGCGCAACATTTGACCATCTACTTCAAACTTCTTCACACCTTACTTTAACTTATTGCAGCATTCTGCAGATGTTAAAAACAAACAGACTTTTATTATATGTTGCAGCCGTTTGGTCCCCCTCTTCTGCTGCAGAGGGTTGCAGAGGTGGTCCGCAGACTTCAAACATTTTCGCTTCGAAAAAACAAACGGCACCTAACTTAACCATTGAGGCTTAACTATGGACACCTACACCACCAATGACGGTCATAGAAATAAGTAGAAAACACATAAACGAATGATACATTACCAAAATAAGAACCTCGTTTATAAATATATGTCGATCTTGATTTTACTTTTAAATTACAGACACTTCACAATTTATATTTTAATAGGAATTGAATATCCCCAAATGTAATTCGATTAACAAAAATGTACGAATATATATATATATATATATATATATATATATATATATATATATATATATATATTGCAAAATGAATATATGTGCTTTGAGTGTTGCAGTCACCAAATTGAAAATCCGAATATTTTAACGGTCGGGTTGACCAATTCTAAAAAAAATAATAATAAGAAGACCTGTTTGGCAACCTGAAAATCGGTCGTGTCGCAAAACACGGGTCCGGGCTTGGGCTAACACTTGAATTGGCCCGGATCTTAAGCCAAGTACGACCCACTAACTTATTTTTTATAATTTTGACCAAACTGTTAATTTTTTAGGCATTTCGTCTAAATCTTTTTTTAGCAAATTGTTGAATCTGTTGTTGCTGTTGTGGTTGAAGCTGTTGCTGAGTGGATATCTGTAATTCCAAGTAAATTACTTACTACCCCAGGTAAAACCATTCCAATTAGTCTACATGCTTTATCAGAAACAGAGAGTAGAAGTGTTTGTGAAGGCAACTGAATCACTGCACAAAGCTTCTTTTCTTGCAGTTGACCAAGGAATCCATGTTGATTCATTGCCCGAAAAACTAGAAAATCTGATTTTCCCACATATTGCCTGGAATTTAAATTTAAATGAATATTTAAAGGAACACTGAGTGTGAGAAAAAATAGATTTTGTTGAGCTTACTTGGTGTTCATGTGATCTTGAGATATAATTCGAACTATATGTATTGTTGGTGGCCAATATGCTGCAAGCCTGAGAGAGAAGGGTATTTTAGGTGTTTCAAAAATAGTCAAATATTTGCTTAAAAACTAGGGCAAATACCATAAAAGTCACAATTTTTTCACGTGTAATTGAGAAAAACCCTATTTTTTTTTTTGTTTGGCTTTGACCACAAATTTTACGCAAAGATATTACTCTAACCAACTTGACAAGTTTTATGGTTAATTCTGTTATCTTTTCGCAAAATCAGTCCTAAAGTTGTGTTTAAAGTCCAAATTTGGTCCTTGTAGCTTGCAAAAAATTACTCTAACCCACTTCTTTATTTTCATTTATTTTTATTTTTTTAGTTAAAACTAAAGTTGGTTTTATATATTTTTTTCGTTTTTTTATATATTTTTCGTTTGTTTTATGTTTTGTTTTTCGTCAATTTGATAACTTCTTTTTATATTTTTCAAAAAGTGTAACGTGTATGAATATATTAGAGTATATTACATTTTTGGTGCTTGAGTTTTTTTTTTGTTTTCTATTTTTTTTAATTTGGGTAATTTATGGTTTTTCTATTTTTTTTATTTTGATTCAATGTATGATATTTACAATTTATAATTATTAAAATAGGAAATAACTAAAAAACGAATATATATATATATATATATATATATATATATATATATATATATATATATATATATATATATATACGAAAAATAAAAAGAATATAAAAAACGAAAAAAAGTATAAAACCAAGTTTAGTTTTGACTAAAAAATAAAAATAAAAAAGTTAAAAAAAAACATAAAACCAAGTTTTGGACATGTGGTGTAATTTTTTGCAAACTACAAGGACCAAATTTGGACTTTAAACACAATTTTAGGACTGATTTTGCAAAAAAAAATAACAGAGTTAACCATGAAACTCTCTAAGTGGGCTAGAATAATAACTCTGCGTAAAATTTGTGGGCAGAGCCAACAAAAAAAAAAAAAAAAAAAAAAAACAGGGTTTTTCCTAATTACGCGTGAAAAAGCTGTGGCTTTTACATTATTTGCCCTAAAACTATGTAATGAGTGACTCACGTTTCAAAAGCCGATGCCTTCAGGTACCCCTACCATGTTTTTAAAAATTGAAACTCATAAGTTTTTTTTTTTTAAAGAATTAAATTACATAATATTTAAACTTACTTCTAATCTGGTAATAAAAACAGGTTGGCCTTGTCGCTGACCATATAAACTCCCCTGCGTCATTTATCTCACTTATATATTATTCCAATTTCCAAATAAATGATTAATCATAAATTTATAATAATGTGAATATTGGTTATTATATTTATATTTATACCTCCCAGACTTTGACATATTTTGACTTTGTTGATTGCAGTGCACCTGTTGTTTGTTGTGTGAAAGTGAGACCAACAGCAACATTAGCTGCTGTATTATTGTTATAATAAAGGTTAATAATTAATAAACATGAATTTGCAAGAAACCTGGTGGAGCTGAAGTTGCATCTGATTTTAGAGGACTTTGAGAGGGCAAATTTGTAATTCCTGATCGATTTAAAGCAACAAGAGCCTCCAAGAATGTTTCTGAAATGAGTACAAGATAATGTGGATTTTTCACAATATCAATTGTAGGATCAGCTGCTGAAGGGTTCCTTTTTCCCTACAAAATCAAATACAATTATTAATTTCAGGAATATATTATATAATACTATAGGAAACTTATTAGAAAAATAAAATGTAATTATTAATTACCGCATTATAGACTGCTTTGAGTTTCGGTAGCTGTTTCGGGCATATAACTGACAAAGAAACGGAACACTGCATGCAAAAAATACATATATAAGTATAAAAACAATCACCATTAATTAAATATCTATATAAATTTATTTACTAATAGTTTAATACCTGAGCAAACGCTTTAGCTATTGTTTCAGCATCTGAAAAACAACTTTCTGATTGTGCTTCATTATTATCAGTTGCTTCTGTTTTTTGCATTGGGGGTCGATAAACTAGAGTTGGAAGTGGATATGGATTACTTGCAGCCACAAGTATGCAATGTCTTTCAACACCCAAATTGTGTTGATTTTGGGGAGGAAACATCTATTCATTAAAGAATGTAAAAATTTTAAATCCTTTGATAAAAATAAAAGATATGACACAATTAAATTATGTTTAAGTTTAAATACCATTAAAGCTTCACCAAGTCCTTCTGCAATTGCAGCATCACCAAAACCATCACCAGTGAAGTGTATGGCTGATAGCCATTCAAAGAAACAATCAACATTTCTTATCCACCCACTCCTTTGTACTAAGCAAGCTGTCATTTAAATTCATAGAAACCTCAAAAACACAAAATTTAAGTAGAACGGTTGATAAGAATTTCGGGAAAATTTTGGTTTTTTATAAGAATAAACGAAACGAGAATAGTAATACGTTATACGCACGACTAAAAGATCCATGTGCATTGAATATTATAAGTGCCAGCTCAGCAATAGTCCCAGATGGTTTCTGTACGTTGAAAAAGTAAAAGATTTTTAAGTTAATAGAAGCAATATAGTGCGAAAATAAATGATACATTCAATAAAAGGTTACGTATATACGCTATGTAACAAATAGAGACTTACCAAAGACTCACTATCACAGAAGGACCTGCATGAAAAACCAAAAAAATTAGAAGAGAAAGTGTCAACAGAAAAACATACACAAGAACCCTAAAGACTACATTCAAAATAGCCCCAATGTTCATCCATAGATATGATTATGACTGGTGATATATATTAAGAATTAATGAAATGTGTTTCAATATTCATGAACATACCTTGTTCTGAACCCATAAACCTAATTACACTACGATTGAATACAATTACTCTACGTCAATTGGACAAACCAATTAGGAACTCGATAAATCAAAACGGGTAAAAAAAAAATAAAAAAATCATTGGCTTATTCTACGAATATAGACCTTCAGTTACACATAATTTGAAATCCCTAAATCCAAATATGACCATAAGAGTACCTGATAACTTTTTCGAGGTAATCGGAGACTATAGTGCGCCAGTAAGGAGCTAGAGCGGCGGTACCTTCAACTACCAATATGAGCTGCTTTTTGTCCGCCATGTATATGTAAAATTGCCAGACGCACAGAGACTCGATCGATCAGCTTTTTGTTGTGGCACTGTTGATCGTCTCAATCGAAGAAGATGCACATGTGATGGAGCAATTTTCACACAATTATTTATGGTGGACTTTTTCAAATTGGAAACTTGTTTAAACCAGGGATGATGCTATTGTTCATAACCTGTGGTGGACTTTTTGTAAGCTGCTCTGATATTTCTTCCCAATGCGAGAAGGGGTTCTAGAACAAAGGGGCTCTGATAGTTCTCGATAAACAATCTTTATTCACAGTTTCATTTAGAAATCATCAAGGTTTTTATCAAAAGTCAAACTTGTGTCATCTCTTTCTAGAACAAAGGGGCAAGAAAACTATTTATTTTTAGGTCATGTGTTATGTTTACATGTTATGTGTAAAATATTTGATTCTCATTATGGTAGTAGTACAGGGAAAGTTGAGAGGTAAAAAGCATGATAGATACAAGACAACATCAACTAAATCAAACCTTTTCTTATTGCAGGCAGGAGAAATCAAGAATCATCTAATCATATCAATGCTTTTGAGCTCATCAGAATGTCTTGGAATCTTGAACTCTTTGAGGTTCTTTGAGGAAAAAAATGAAAGAACTTGATGAGATTTTTTTTCCATGTTTTGAAAATTTCATGCATTGTAAAGCTTGTTGAGATTTTTTTTCTATGTTTTGAAAATTTCGTGCATTGTAAAGCCACATTTGGTTTAACTGTTTTATTTATCTTATATCTATAAAATCACGAGTGGATCCATGCTTTAGAAGGAGGGAACAATTGTTGTATTGCTTCTCATATTATAAATTAAAAATAATATTTGTAAGTTGTCTTTTTGTATTAGTATTATGTTTCCAAAATAGAAGATATTTTTTTTTATAAATTTAGATAATATATAAAATGTTAATTAAGAATTCTAAATAATAATTTATAAAAAGTAATTAAGAAATATAAAAATATATAATGTGACAAATTTAAAAAGTAATTATTATAAAAATATATAATTTATTTAAATTTCAGTTTATGGCAGCAGTCTGCAGATGTTAAAAAACAAGCATGCTTCTTATTACAGGTTGCAGCCGTTTAGTCTATCTCTTCTACTGCAGAGGGTTGTAGATGTGGTCTGCAGACTTCGAGGATTTTTGCTTCGAAAAAACAAACAACACCTTAGTGAGTTCTCCAAGTTACCATATACCACAATACATATACATGCATACAAACAATGGCTCACTATATGCCAATAATATGCATATTTTAGACTTACAGCCCAACCATTTCGTCTTCAACACGGTTCTACGTTTACTTACGACCTACGTGTCATTTCGTCAAAATGGGTCTATGTGTACTTACGGCCTATTTGTCATTTCGTCAACACGCGGACCTATACGCTCCCATCCTCTTTAACCGTTCCACCATCATCCCCTAACTAAGTCCAATATCACAACAATTTCGCACATAGAGACTGTATTTTAGATTCTACTAATATAGACACATTCATACTTCCTACTCTACTAGTGTGCACTTAAGCACGTAAAGGTTATACTACTAGCTTTACTCTACACATTCCTTATCCTAACATACATATATATATATATATATATATATATATATATATATATATATATATATTGTACTATAGCCTTTCTAAAATCCAATAACCAAGCCAACGTAACCATTCTAGACACCTCTCCCGTAAGTAGATCAATCAACATTATAACTGGAATTACTGATAAATCGTATATATATATATATATACATATATATATATATATATATATATATATATATATATATATATATATATATATATATATAAACGACTATGTATTGGCCCGAACCACTGCCTCAGGGCTTCGCTAAAGCACTTCAAAAACCCAGAAGGTTGTAATCGAGGGGTGGGTGGTCTCCAAAGAGTTTGGAGTGAAGAGAGTGTGAGGAAAGAGTGAGAATCGAAGAAGCCGAAGACATCTATTTATAGTAAGGTCGTAACGTCGATCCATCCACTGCCTGGCACGTGTCAAAACTGATGGGTTTTAAGCATAACAAACAAAAACTTATGTATGCATGCAACCCTAATTTCCCGATCTATGTTTTCTCTAATTGAACATACTGTTGGATTAGTGTCTAAGCTCATAACTATATTTGGTAAGTACTTGACCCGGTTGTGCATGGTCCTTTTGGGTTGCCTTCACCAAAGCAACTAGATAGGATGATTTATGAAGAGATAGGTTATTATGGTTTATTAATATATTATATGAATAATATATTAAAGGAGAAATCATATAGTTTAATTAAATATTAGACAAGAATTAATTAAGAATTAATTATGTGGCTAAAAGAGATTAATTAAATAAAGGGGACTGGATTGCAATTATTGGATAATTGATTAATGGGTTGTGAAACCCTAGGAAGAAAGGAGTGGATGAAAATTAGATCGGAGCCCATCATATTTTCGTCCAAGGCCTTATTCTAGAAGGTCCCTTGGACTGCTTAAGGCCTAAGCAATCCAATTAGGGTTTTGACTGAAACCCTAGCAACACAAGTATAAATAGACCCCTAGGGCATCATAATTCGGCGACCAGAAACCCTAGAGAGTTCCATAGCCGAAATTTAGTGCCTCCCTCTCCTCTCTCCAAATATCATCTTCTTGCTTCTGGTGTTTGTAAGCCATTAGAGGAATGAGATTTGTGACTCTAAGCTCCAAGACAAGAAGATTCAAGTTATTGATTGAAGAGGTAATCATCTAGATCTGATTTCATATGATAATTTTTCGAAATATGTATGCTAGATCTAGGGTTTATAAGTCTTGGATGAATAGCATGTACAATAGAGAAACCTAGATCCAAGCTTTAGGGTTTGCATGAGCACATAGGATGTTCTTTTGTATAAAACCCATCAGTGGTATCAGAGACTTGATTGGTTTCTATTGTATTGATGCCTTGTATGTTCATCTTGCTGAAAATCGTTTTTCTGCCCTCTGCCCGACCTGACTCGGCGAGTCACTTGCTGAACTCGGCAAGTCGGCCCAACTCGGCGAGTCCAATGAGTGACTCGGCGAGTCGGGGAGTCAGACAGAGGGATACTCGGGATTTCTTGCTGTTTTGCTGAAGGATAATTACCAAAACTGTTTTTGACTAATAAAATCTGAATTTTATTATTAATATGTGATTATCCTTACCAAAACAAAAGATAATTACCAATTATTTGAATAATAAATTCCTTATACGATAATATTTGATTATTTAAATTATTTGATGAATTATCTTGTGAATAAAATGGAATAGGTCAAATTTAGATAATCATTAAATTAAATGTTTGATTTAAATTATTTACTATTTGATCGTATGTGTTTTGAAAAGTTCAAAACTTGCCCTCAAGTTTTGGAATTTAAATTTTTAATTAAAAGTTTAATTTAAATCATTTAAATTTCAAACCCTAGAATTTTACAAGTTTAAAATTCACCCTATACTATTATAATATTATAAGAATAATAATTATATATGTATAACTTAAATGTTAGTCTTACCGTTAGTAGGCCTCATTCACGAAGCCGATCTATAAGGGGGTATAAGGTTATGGCTTATAAAATGACCGTTTAATGGGTGTCCACTCTCACCCACCGCTTCCTTGATTGGTGGAGGGTCGTTAGCCGAACGGGTAGGATAGGGCAAACATTTCCTCATTAAAAGTATAATGAATTTATAAAGTAACTAAATGTTTTTCAAAAAAATTCTCAATCTTAGTTACTTTAGGCAAAAGTGAATTGATGCAATTCCATGAAATTACACTTTGTACCCTTGCTAAGACGTTAGTGGAGCGTGTGTGGTTAACCGATACACTAATTGGGCTCTAAGCAAAGGTGGCAAAGGGTGATTCGATGTTTGTCATAGTTCGATGGAGCGTGTGTGGTTAACCGGCACGTCGAATAGGTGACTGTAACATTGAGGGCACCATGTATATTTGCATGGTTATTCACACCCGCTTTGTGATCCTCGGCATCCCAGTCACAAACTTGAGGGGCATATCGAGATTTAAACATGCCATTGAAAAGTTCAATGAATCTCAAAAGATCTAGGAGTTTTTCAATACATTTAAAACTTATCTTTAATTTGTTTTTCATGGTGGAAAATTAGTGAATCATCATTCACTTACCTTCAAATTATTTGCTTGTTAGATTACGGCATCCCTCTTCTAATTTGTAAATAATGTTGTTGGATCCTAGCCCTAATTTCTCATTTGGGTGTTTAATTGGGGATTCATTTCTGATCAAACTTGTCTCTTTTCTATTTTAGATGTCTAACGTGAACAACAACGCTTCCGGCTCAAATTCCTCTGGCTCGTTCTCACTCATGAACTTGTATGGGAGAGTGGTCTTTAACGGGTCCAATTTCAATGATTGGATCCGCAACATCCGAATGGTCACTCGTTACGAGGACAAAGAGTATGTCCTCGATGAGAAGCTGAAGGAAATCAACATCAACACTGCCTCCGTTGAAGAGATCGCGGCCTTTGAGGCCCATGAGCGTGATACTACGAAAGTCCATTGCATCATGCTGGCGACTATGACTGCAGAACTCCAGAAGTCCTATGAGGACATGTACCCCTATGAGATGCATCAAGATCTGCTGGACCGGTACCACCAAAGCGCTAGGCAAGAAAGGTACGAGATCATCACTTCGATGATCACTGCCAAAATGGGTAATGGAGAGTCCCTTACTGCTCATCTGCAAAAGATGTCGAGATATGTCGATCGCCTGCTAAAGTTAAATGTTAACTTTGATGAAGAGCTGGCAATTGACATCATCCTTCACTCCTTGCCTCCCTGCTACAACCAGTTCCGCATGACCTACCACATGAACAAGGAGGAGGTCTCTTTGAGCAAGCTTCAAGGCTTGTTGAGGACTACTCAGAGCAACCTCAAAGACAAATTTGTTGCATCAACTCCTACTCCTGTTGTTGCCCCAGTCTTGGCAATTGGGCATGGAAATGGTAAGAAGAGGAAGGCCCCCTCTCAAAGAGCCACCATAAGGGAAAGTCCCATGATGGCACCTCTTCTAGTGGAAACAAAGCTGGTTCTGCTAAACCCAACTCCAACCCCAAGGAGGCAGAGTGCCATCACTGCCACGAAATAGGGCATTGGAAACGAAGTTGCCCGAAGTATCTGCAAGACATCAAGGATGGAAAGATCACGCCATCCTACGCAGGTATTTACACTATTAAATCTAATGATTTATCACATGCTATTTCTTGGGTTCTTGATACAGGATATGGTTTTCACATTTGTTCTGACTTGTAGGGCCTAATAAGAAATAGGGATGTGGAGCATGGGAAGATAAACTTAATCATGGGGAACAGAAGATCGTCGCCTGTCACCAAGATTGGAGTTTACTCTTTAGTACTTAGTAATGGATTAGGATTAGATTTAAATAATTGTTGCTATTCGCCAGATATGGCAAGAAACATCATTTCTTTTCATGGTTTGTATAGACAAGGGTTTAGATATTCATTTGATAATGAAAAGGGTTCTATTAATGCTTATCTTAATGGTGTTTTCTATTTTGAAGCATTGCCTTGTAATGGAATATATGAAACTGTGATGGTTGTAGATAACTTAGGAAATGATGTGTTGTGTATCGATTCTTCCAATAGTTTGGATAA